ATAAGGGGCTAACCCTTATAAATTGAAAACTTAATGAAGTAGGAAGCTGAGAGTCGGTAACCCTATAATTTCTTATCCAAATAATCTATTTTCGGCTTCAGTTTTCCTTTCTTCCGAACTTTTTAGATGGTATGGGCTTTTAAAAATGCTTTTTTTTCGGATAGCCGACAAAATTTTTAACTAAACATAGAAACTAAACGAAGCACATTAAAAGAAGGGTTCCACTAGATCAATTTAATTTAAATGCATCGTGAATATTTTTTTACAGTGTACAAGGCCCGGGAGCCACTCGAGGTAGACGGTTACAGAGTAAGAGGCAAAGTGTATGTGGATATGTGAAGAAGATAACGGTTAACCCTAGATTTGAACAGGTTAGGATTTTAGTGATCGGGGAAAGCATCCTCTTGGGAGTCTGTTTCACGGAGCAGTAGTTCGCGGGAAGAAGCCGTTCGAGTGGAATTTTACTTCTCACCGATGAAATACAGAGGGAGGGTGGGTAGTTCCCTACAATGCGCGTAACATGGTGGGTCCTAGCCGTGAAGGTTAGAAGTGATCGAACTAAGCTGAGCACTTTCCATAGAAATAGCGATAGACCAGGGAGAGGCTTGCAACATTTCATCTGTAAGAAGGAGGAGGCAGTGTGTAAAATAATTTGTCACCGACAAGGACGGAGAAACGCTTTTGAACTCTATCGAGACTGGGAAGTGAGGACTGTGCAGCACCTGTCCAAATATGAAAGTAGTATTCCATTTTAGGCCTGATCAAGCTCTTTGTAGTAAAAATTATATATATATATATATATATATATATATATATATATATATATATATATATATGTTATACCGAACATACTTAATCTATTGTAAATAGACTCTCCCAGAATAAGTAGTAGCAGTCGCCAGGGGGCTCAGTGAGTAGAGTTGAGTGAGTCAGTCGATGTCGGACATTAAATTATCAACCACCACAACTAGATTGCTGCGTCATTAACTATTATTTTCAATGTTCCTAACGTTTTGTACGTTGAACCTAATTTAGGACCGACTTAGTGAAATACAAGCCTCCACTGTGAAAACTACTCTACAACAATATTTTAATTTGGATTATAGGTGCAGTTCAATGTATAATTACATGAATCATTCATACAAAAAAAAAAAACAAATATAGAGGTTAATGATTTAAATGGCTAGAATACATCTTCGCAAACAATTTCAATAAGATAAACTAACTCCGAACCCGTATATGAATGATATGATCCCTGTTTAAAAATTCCAGTTTCATAAGGTCTTTTTTAGTTTTTACAAGCTTTATTATAACCATGGAATATTAGTGTTTCAGATTTATATATATATATATATATATATATATATATATATATATATATATATATATATATATATATATATATATATATATATATATATAAAAGAAAATTGTATGACAAATTTGTAAAAAAATTTTGTAACATCTTAGGGCTTAACTGTACTGAGTTTCTGTCTATATTTCTGAGATGAGGTATTATGTACATTATTTACATTATTCTGACTATTGTCCTCATCTTTATCGCCATATTTATTACAACGTTTCGGCCGTTGTACGCTCCGGCCTTCTTCAGGTGGTTGGAATGTCGAACTGAACCCTTTATTTTGCTCACTGAGGTAGACTGTTCTAATTCCACGTGTCATGTTTAATAGATGTCAGTTATCAGTTATCTCCTGTTAATTTTCCCTCTGAAAATTCTCGACTGCCTTAACCGGGCATTGAACTCAAACTCTTTGGGTCCTGTCACTAGATCTAACCAACGCCTTTATCAACTGTGCCATGTGTCCTTGGACTGAGTTGTTGTCACTACACCTGCGCATGTACGAAAGACGCTGGTAGTTTTAAAACTCTGGAAGAATTTTTTTTTTGCACTCTAGCCAAATTCATCTATAATCTATTTCTTTCCATCATCTTTGTTTTTAAATATCCCTCATTGTGATAACAGAAAACTTGCCAAGAATGGTAATGCGTTGTAAAGGCCAGGGCGTAAATTTACTGGGATTGAAGTAACGATTAAAGCACTTTCTTGAAAGCCTTAGTGAATTATATATATATATATATATATATATATATATATATATATATATATATATAAATTTAGCTAATAACCGATACAATGATACAGACATAAGGAAAACCCAGACACCCCTTGTCCAGTTGAAGTAGATTTATCTGTAACCATGGAAACGTGATTTTAGCTGTGTCTTTAAAACCCAGTAAATTTAAAAGTTACTCCAAAATTCGCTTGAGGATGAAATGGAATTAATGTCTTTAATTTAATTGCAAAATTAAATTCGTGGCTTTTAGCTTCCATTTTTTGAAACATGGTTAGAACTGTGTAGCAATAAAAATATTTTAAATCAATTAATTTATAATATTAAATATATATATATATATATATATATATATATATATATATATTAATGAATTTTTATCCGATATTATTTTATCACTACAGGTTTGACTGAACTTTCTCTTTTGTTTAACAGTAAAATTAATGTTTACTGGCTTAGACATTAGAAAGTCTTATTAAAAAAATGTCTTAACCGCAGGATATTAATTTCAATATTAATTAAAAAAAAAAAACAGGAATGTCCATTCGGACATGAACATTTCCTTTATCGTTCGCAGTGCTTCGATGAATAATGGCATGGCCGTCATCCTTGTGGAACTGACTCCCAAGTGGATGCTTCCCAGATCACTACAATCTTAACAAGTTCAAGTCTACAGTCAACCGTTATCTTCCACACATGTGCTTCTTACTCTGTAATGTCCTACTTTGAGTTGTAGGGTTCAGGGCTTGTACGTGGGCGTGTGTGTGTGTGGGGAGGCATCATTGTAAAAAAAATTCCTATTGATTCAAGGATTTTTTGCCCGGGGGATGATCATCAAATCTCAGCTCCTACTCAAAACTTAGAGAAACAACGCTTTCTTCGTTACATGAGATGTTCCAAGCTGCACTGCCACCGGCGCAAACCCATAAACGTCAAGTTCAATACAGAAAAATCCAGCAAACGATGTTATTTTATGTATGGTAACTGGATTTTTGGCGATTGCCTTACTCGTTTTCCGTCGCTCTATTGAATAAGCGTCTTACATTACAGAAAGATTCTTGTCTTTCTTCTTCTTCTTCTTCTTCTTCTTCTTCTTCTTCTTATTATTATTATTATTATTATTATTATTATTATTATTATTAGTCAAATCCCCATCTTACGAACATTTCTCTAAATAATAATTTTAAAATAATTCAGCAGACGATGTTATTTTATTTATGGGAACTGAATTTTTGGTGATTTCCTTACTCGTTTTATGTCGTTCAATAATAAGTGTCTTACAATACAGAAAGATTCCTGTCTTTCTTCTTCTTCTTCTTCTTCTTATTTTTATTATTATTATTATTTTTATTATTATTATTATTATTATTATTATTATTATTATTGTTATTATTATTAGTCAATTCCCTATCTTACGAACATTTCTCTAAATAATGATTTTAAAATAATTCAGCAGACGATGTTATTTTATTTATGGTAACTGAATTTTGGCGATTGTCTTACTTGTTTTCCGTCATTCGATAATGAACGTTTGAAAGATGACGCTTTTATTGCGGTCACCACATCTCTATCTGGGATCAAAGTATAGTATCTGTCCTCTGGCAGATAAACTACATTTCATCTCTCAGTTGTGTCTCTGGCTGCGGACAGAGCGCTACTGAAAATATTATTGGGAGCTTCCCGGTTTCCGGAAATAGCTACTTGCTGATGTTCCTCCCTCATTGTACAAAAGAGTTGGGGGGGATTGGCAGTAATGCCGATGCCAGAGGAACCGACAAGACCTGGCCCGTGTGCACGCGTTTGGGCTCCCCTACATTAAACCGACCTTGTGTCATATCTTACCAGCGTGAGTCGGCTAGAAAATACAATCGCTTCTCGGCTTTTTTGGCTTTGATCAAAGTGTAGTATCTGTTCTTATCAGCTTAATCTAATGTCTCCCTCTCTCTCTCTCTCCACTTGTATCTGTCTCCTTTCTTTCTTTTCTTTTTCATTTTCCCACCGAAGTCAAATAATGTCTTTTCCTCTCTTTCGATGCGATCAAAACGGAATAGTCCTTTATTTATGAGTTATTGGCAGAGCGTAACGGTTGTGCGAACTAACGAAGAATTATTATGATAGAAATATGAATGAGCTAAATTTTAATAAATCCTATCACGGGGTATATTATGTAGGATCGATCCCATGAACATTGACTTCTGCTACCCACGACAGCAGTATGAATATAATTAATTTCAGTCTTCTTTATATATACGATGTCTTCGGATTTTCAAAATTATTTCGTTGGATTTCTGGAGCTATACATTTTAAAAGCATTTATTACATTCCTCTTGATGTAAAAATACATAATACCAGAAAAAAAAAACGTTTATATCTTAAAATAGAGTAAAATAATACCGCGGCTCATCTGGTAAATTTCCCACTTCATGATCAGTTCGGCTAATCGGCATCTCGTTCTACCCCCAACCACAAGTTGATTTCCATTTTTTTTTCTCCCGCCCTCTAGCAATCAGTTCCTCTCGATTTCTTGTAAAATCCGTGATACCCTGAAGATGTTAATCTAGTCTTACTAATATTAATGGGTAAGAGTAATAATAAAAGGCGAGGAGGAGATCGGTTTTGTTGCTCGTTTTTTAAGCGGGTATCTGGAGCTCAATCAGTCACGATTCTCACTTTTCACGATGTTCTGGTGGATTACTGCTTTTGTTATTTTTAAATAAATAAATAAATAAATAAATAAATGAACCTACGATGTCCTCGTCCCCAATACTAAGTTGAACGGAGTCACGTGACGCAGCCTCGTTCACCAATATCGACCCAGTGCAAAAATGGCGTGGTTAGAGACACACCCATTTTTTTTGTTTTTTGTTTCGTTTCGTTTTGTTTTCATTCCCTCCGTCACATTATCCTATGTTCTCTACTATCTGTTTCGTTCCTCCTATCTATCTATCTATCTATCTATCTATCTATCTATCTATCTATCTATCTATCCCCTTTCTATCTATCTATCTATCTATCTATCTATCTATCTATCTATCTATCTTTCTTTCTTTCTTTCTTTCTATCTGTCTCCTTTCTTTCTTTCTTTCTTTCTTTCTTTCTTTCTTTCTTTCTTTCTTTCTTTCTTTCCCTTATCTATCTATCTATCTATCTATCTATCTATCTATCTATCTATCTATCTATCTATCTTTCTTTCTTTCTTTCTTTCTATCTGTCTCCTTTCTTTCTTTCTTTCTTTCTTTCCCATATCTATCTATCTATCTATCTATCTATCTATCTATCTATCTATCTATCTATCTATCTCCTTTCTTTCTTTCTTTCTTTCTTTCTTTCTTTCTTTCTTTCTTTCTTTCTTTCTTTCTTTCTTTCTATCTCGATCTTCTACATTTCTTCTATCCCCTCACCCCGGCTGCCCGTTCCGATATACTCTTCCTCTTCCCGCTACCGTCTCTCCTCCCACTTCCAAACACACGAATGGACCAATCGTCATCGAGGCGAACGCACTACCGTTCCTTATAAAGATTGCGGTGTCGTTCGTACGAAATCATTGAGGCTATACAAGGACCGATTTTAGTTGGTGTTGCTACTTCCCTTTGTCAAGACAATTACGACGCCATATACAGTAAATCGCAGTCATGATTATGGTGTATGCAGTCACAGCTTGGGGGTTACAGCGATGGTCCTGTACGCATTAAATAGACTGCTTATCTTTTGTTGAATGGGTGGGCGAGGCTTCCTTAACCTACCAACCTTCCTGAACCAAGACATTTATAGCAAAACCTCTTCAGTTCATTTAATAAATAATTAATTTGGTTAATCTGTATCTACATAAGCTTTGTTCGAGGCTACATTCATGAGATTATTTTTTTAAAAATAAGCTTTGATGTGTCTCTTTGAGAGCGATTCTAAAATATCGAAAGGACTTTGTCCGTCGCATAGTTAAAAAAAAAACAAAAAAAAAACGTTGAAAGTGATTCCGAAAAACATATTTGCATTTAAGCAATACTTGATTAACAAGTTTAAGAAAATATTTAAAAAAAAATTATTTCTATGCTAAAATTAACCCAGTACAAGGTTCGAGAATCATTCGAGGCAGACGCTTTCAGTTAAAATGGTTATGATGAATGAAGTCTGTGATATGAGTGAAAGAGCTGGTTGGAAGTGAATATTATAAATAGTTACCCACCATAGAGAACCCTCCCTTCCTCCTATCTGCATGGCTGATGCTCAACTCCACAAGAGCGTCCCTCTGTGCCTTCTTATTTTTTACGTTTTCCACTGACATGAGGCGGAACAACTATATTCAATAACTTCCTCTACCGCAAGGAAAGGTGGTTCTCTGTGTCGAGCCAGAAGTTTTTTTTTTCTCTCGCTTGAATCCATCCTTCAAATCTAAAAATCTACCATTCGTCCTTACATTGAATACTGTTGCCATATATGGTCTTGTTCCCCCCCCCCGCTGTTCATCTCGAGGTCCTAGACAAAATCCAGAGACGGATATGCAATATGATAGGTCCTGACCTGTCATCTCGTCTACAGTCACTTTCTCATAGATGTGATGTGGCTTCCCTCTGTCTTTTCTACAAATATTTTCATGGCAACTGCTCTGGCAAACTATTTTCACTGGTGCCCCAACTGCATGAATTTAAGCATGCTACTAGGTTGGCATCTTGGTCCCACCCTTTCACTGTTAAAACAGTTAAATGTAACCACCTCTTCTACTCCAACACACTTCCCGACAGTGGAACTCCCTTCCTCTTACTTGCTTCCATGAAAACTATAATCTTAAAATATTCAAATGTAATGATAATCGATATTTTTGATGCCTTGATCCTGATCCCCATCCTTCTCTTTATCGTTTCCTCAAATACCCCTCTTTACTTTTATTCTCACTCTCTGTAACCGGCGTGCTAGTGGCACTTCCGACTTGCTTTGGGTGAAATGCTTTAAAAATAAATAAATAAATAAAATAACGTGGATAGATAATGACTGAGATTTGAATTGAAGAGGTTAAGCTTATTATATATTTATTTTTTGACGGTGAGAATCACCCCTTACAAAGCCCGAGATCCACTCAATGTAGAGAGTTAAATTAGGGGGCCTTTTCTGTGTATAGACGAGAGAAACTTGACTAATGCATGTTGAATAATAATGCAACACAATGTTGAAACTTGACTAATGCATGGAATAATAATGCAACACAAAAGGTACTTAGAACAAAAGGTATTGAAACAAGGAAGTGTACACAATATTTACATATAGTCTTTTGTATATTCCCGGGAAGACCGTTCCTGGAGAATGTGTTGACTGAGTCGCAGTCGGGCAGAGTCTCTGGTTGAATCTCTTGATTCCTCCCCTCTCTTCCCGGTACCAACCATATTTATATGGTCGGTACTCCACTATGCAAATTAGGTGGATTTTACCACAACAGATAACGATTAATCCTAGCCTTGAATAGGTTAAGATTGTAGTGACCGGGGAAGCATCCTCTTAGGAGTCGGTTCCACAGGGAAGTGGTTTGCGGGAAGAAGCTGCTCGAGTGAAACTTAATTTTCAACGATGGAATACGGAGGGAATTTGCTACTGTGTAAGTGGCATGTCATGTTCTTGCCGTGGAGGTTTGCCTTGGCGGGACCGGGGAATGTGGTTCGTCCGAGCACTTTCCATGGAAGTAGCGGTAGGGCAATGAGAGGCTTGCCACATCTCGCCCGTGGGAGTAACTCGTCACCCACAGGGCTTCGGAGACGCTTTTGAACAAGATTGGACAGTGACGTCTTGGCAGCTCTTGCTCAGATATGACAATAGGACTCCATTTTGGGCCTGATCTAGCTCTTGGAAAGCTAGAGGATAATATGAGTCAGGTACTTACTAGAGCGATACAGGGAGTCGACCATTGTACCTGCATTCTTATCAACGGATCTTATGTACGAGTTCCACTTGAGGTCGGGTGTGAGTTTGGGGCATACCGTTAAAATGGCTATAATGAATAAGGGGAAGGATATGAATGAGATAGGTGGTAGGAAATGAACATTATGAGGATAAGGAGGATAGACAACAATTAAACTCAGACTGGAACATGTTCAGATTGTTTTGATTTGATCAAGGAAATATCCACGTGGGAGTTTGTTCCTGAAAGTAAAAATGAGTAGAGCTTTCCCATTTTATTTGGAATACGGGGGAGATGAGGACGATTTGGTTCCGTGGAAGTGGTATGGCTTGTCTCAGTAGTAAAAGTCTGAATTGATGGACGTCGTCAAAACATGTATATCAAACTAGCATGTTAACCATCACTCTTTGGTAGAAATCTAATAATATTTGTATTATTATTTTCTTTTTTTATGCTATTTTTTTTTTCACTAAATAAAAGGACCAATAACCACTCCAGGCAGAGTGTTACCAAATAAAGTTGGTGTTAGGGCGTGCGAGGAGAATAAAAATTGTATGTTATGAGGATATGTAGGATAGATAAAGGTTGACTCCAAACTGGAAGAGGTAACGTTTGTAGTAATCGAGGACGCATCTTTTCAAGAGTCAGTCGCAAAACGTATCAGTTCTAGGGAAGGAGCTACCTCAGGGAAACTTCATTCTTGCCTTAAATGCTAAGGGAATGGGGATGAGTGTCCGTGGCCTGGCGGCTCCTAACTGTGAAGGTCTGAACTGGTGGAACTAAACATCCTATGGGAGTAGCGACAGTTTCATCTTTGGGGAAAATAAGTTGCAAGAGGGAAATAACCCATTACCCACAAGGCCGCGTAAACGCGCTTGAACTCTGGAAAAGTGTGGGTTGGGCAACTCCAACCCAAATAGAGTACCCCATTTAAAGAGAAATCATGGCAGGAGAAGTCAGATACTTTCTGGAACGGTAGTAAGAACCGACCCTTTTTCCAGCATCTTTAACGGTGGATTATTGTTGTATCTTTCATCATCTTCATCATCTTGCGGCCTCAGCCGAGATTGAACTCACCAATACTTTGATTGGTGTAGTTCATAAACTTGTCAAATAGCTGAATTCTTGATGCTTCGCTTTTTGCTATCAAGAGTGTTTTTTATCGTGACACCAACACTAAATGGATTGCCAACCAAGTCTCAGAGAGACTCCATTCACCCTCCTCTAAGAGCAGGTTTGAATTCAGAGTTTTCCTTCTCCTAGACCAGTTGCCATCCAAGGCTATAGAACCCGGTGTGTCCTGCTATTTACCCATAGCTGGAGGGAGAAGAAAGAGGATTCACACCTTTCCCAAGGGTATTAGCACGTAAGTGAATGTAATGGATTCGACTGGAATTCGAACTTGGCTCTCCGATTCCTCAATCCAAGCCGCTATCCATTAGTCCACCGTGCCTTCTTGTATCTTTAAAGAAGGTTACAAACAGATAAAAGGGGTACTCGAGTGAAGGAACAGCAACCCGTGCATAGATAAAAAAGAGAAGTTTATTGTAAAAGAGAATACACTGCTGAAAGGGAATCGGGTGGCAGGCTAGTAATTGCCAAAGCAAGGCTATTTGCCATACCTCCCTGCGAGGTAGGATGTGGCACAAGGCCGTTTTTTAAAAAAAATTCCCCGTAGACCCCAAATACACGGGGTCGGGTAGCTGTCTACCACCCTAGACGAGGCTATGCCGAAGGGCAGAGCCTCGTTTGGGTTCCTCTCTGCCCGAAGCCTGAAACTAAGCAAAGTATTAATTAGGTAGAAAAAATGTAAGAAACAGGGAAAAGTGTGCTGGACTGCTATGTGATATCTGTTATAGTGGAACACACCTATTCTATAGTTAATAGACTCTCCCACCTATAATAAGTAGGAGTAGTAAGAGTAACAAGTCAGTCGGCAGTGAGTTGATCAGTCAGTCGATGTCGGACGACCGTTAGTCGGATACTAAAGTATCAGCCAGCACAACTAGATTACTGCGTCATTACCTATTATATCCAGTTCCTAACGTTTTGTACGTCGAACCTATTTTAGGACCGACTTAGTACAAATACAAGCCTCGATTATAATATATATTATATAATAAATATTATAAATATAATATAATATATTGCTAATTCGATTTTTTTTTTTTTTAACATTTCACCCCAAGTACGGCGGGAGTGCCATCAGCACGCCAGGGGTTACAGAGGGTTGAGGAAAGGACGGGGAATCAAGCCGAGCTTCTCGACTGGACGGTCAAACTCTCAGCTTCTGAGCAGAAAGGAACCCGGACGAGGCTCCGCCGAAGGGCAGAGTCTCGTTCGGGGAGAAATGACCAACCCGATCTCGTTTATACGGGTTATACGGGCATTTTTTGGCCGAGCCTACGGGCTCTGGAAACCCACGTAAAAACTCGGCCTTGTGCCACATGCAACCCTCGTGGGGGGGAGCTAGATACCGAAAGGACGGGGAATACTATCAAGGCATCAGAAGATGTCGATTGACATTACACCTGAATATTATAGATTATTTTGTATCAGGGAAGCAAGTAAGAGGAAGGGAGTGCCATTGTTGGGAAGTGCGAGAGAAGAAGCTGTTGGAGTAGAAGAGGCG